CATTCCCTTAAACACTCTCTTCCCCACTTATAATTTGGACATAACCGTCTCCTTTGACGACTTCTTGAGAGGCTGGATTGCTTTTGAATTAAAACGCTTTACTGTGCCTTATTATCTCGCTGTACAGATAAAATTGAGGACTTTTTCCTGCTTTAACTATCGCTTTTATGTTCAAAACATTTAAGATTGACTTTAAAATAATCCTCAATTCAACTATTGACTGTACAATTGATTGTTGTGCAATGTACGACTGATTGTGTACAAAAAGCAACCGAGCTTTTATGATAACGCACTGCGGCTGTTTTGGGCATGCGGATGCTTATTTAGTCAGCAAACTGCCATTTGCCCCATTTCTCTCTGACAGCTCGTTGGCGAACTGCAGCTGCTGAAGTGAGTGCGCACACAAGCTGTTCGTCGGATCATTGCCAGAGACAATGAACTAGCTTGGAGAACAACGTGTGCGTGTGAAATGTGCTACCAATTTGGTAAACCTTGTAAAGAGACAAATAGAGATTGCATCAGGTAGCGGTCCTCGTGATCGCAAGACCAAGATTCAGTTCAATGGGAAACGCGGTCAACATTGAGATTGCGTGTCAAAATCCATCCACACAACGTATGCTTCCAAATGACCTTCAACTTTCAAAGAGACATTTTAATTGTTTAGCCGAGCATACGAAGGGGACCGTATGAGTCGCACGTAGTGCTATAAGTGGTTTAAGTGTTTGTACATGACAGAATGTCGGTCGGTGATGATCCCAAGTCTGGACGACCTTTCACTTCAACAGACGATGACCATATCGACAGAGTTCGTGCCATGATCCGTGCGAATCATTGTTTTACTGTTGGAGAAGTTGCTGATGCAGTAGACATCAGCGTAAGATATATGCTAGCAAGTTTTGAGTGACAAAATTGAGATGCATTGTCTTATTGCAAAATTCGTGCCGCGTTTGTTACTTGACGATCAGAAACAGAACCGTGTTGAAATCAGCCAGGAACTGCTTGCCACTGCCAATGGCAGTGGAAACTTCATTAAGCATTTCACAACAGACGGTGAGACATGGATTTGCGGTTATGACATTGAAACGAAGGTGCGGTCGTCAAAGTGGATGGGGAAAGTGTGTCCTCACGAAAAATGCACTCAGGAGTCTGTCAAACATCAAGGTGACGTTTGTTGTTTTTTGACTTCAAAGGCATTGTACATCCAGAAGTTGTACCGCGTGGTCAGATGGTAAATAAGACGTCTACCAGGAAATCCTAGCGCGTTTGAGGGATGCTGTACGCTGAAGGTGGTCTGAACTGTGGGAAAACCAGACTTAGATGTTGCATCAGGAAAATGCGCCGGCTCACGCATGGCTCCTAGTCCGCAGCTATCTAGCAAAATAACACACTCCCGTTGTGCTCCGTCAACCGTGTTCTCCGGACCTAGTCTAGCAGACTTCTCTTGTTTCCCAAACTTAAGACCACACCAAAAGGACTTTGTTTCCGAACGATAGAGGAGATTCAGGACACTGCGACAAGAGGCCTGCGCACCCTGCCAGGAACTGCGTTCCAGGAAGCTTGCTAAAAATGGAAGCACCGTTGAGAACGGTGTATTGCAAGTAGAGGGGACGACTTTGAGGGGATAATTGCTTAAATATTGTGCAATAAGCAGTAAAAATACTATAGCAAAAATTCGGCTTATTTTAGAACCCACCTCGGATACCATGGTTTACCCAAACCCCGGGGGTACTTCTCCTCGAACCGACATCGCTCATGGAACTCAGTAGCAGAGGTAGAATGATGTCAGCCAGTTCCGCTATCTGTAGCTGTACGGGGAAGAAACCGGCCGTTTAATTGTGTATCCTGAAAACTGAGACCTACTAGACATACGTCTGTGTTGCTCCATCGTAGTTAGTTCATACACGCGCGCGAATGAAGTGGTTGTTACTTGCGAGTTTGCAATATATTACATTTGCGCCATATGCTCCGTGAATCTGAAATCTGAAAAGTGTGCGTCTAGGAATTTCTTGAATTCCTACAAGGATTTCGTTAGGCACTGCTGGTGTACTAACTTGTCCTAACGGATAAGTGTGGTACAATGATTACGCTGTACTACATATTTGCCACAGTTGGCAGGAGTGTGCTTTTCTCTGTACATGCGCCACGCTGCTTCTCTTACCACCATGCGCCCCCGTGTTCTGTTCCGAAAATGATTGTGCTCTTGCAGCATTGACGCAATGTGATTTCCGATACGGATCTGACCAAATCATCCAACTTGCCAGCATACTCCGTCCACGCAGCATCAATAGAATAGTCATCCGAAAAGTTCCAGATGGCTTCTCCGAGGAGTTCTGTCCGTATATTGTAATGTGTGATTGTACGATACAGGTCGCTTGTTCTTGTGCATATTCTGCATAACACACATGCTTATAAAGTATGATGATGTGCAAATTAGCCATAGATGATTATGTCTCTCTTTGGTTTATCCATCTTAAACTCTTCGTTGATAAGCACAGAACCAAGCACTGAATGTTGTTTCCCCTTTTGAGTCCGGCAGGTGAAATAAATGTTTGAAGAGCAGAATGTTTGCAATAAAGTTTTGCAAATCGGCGTTAAACTGCTCACTGCATGATGCCGGAACCTGCCGATCGAGAACACCGAAGCTGGTTAAGATGAGAACGTGACCGTAGCTTGGTCGCAGGACCTTTCCATGGGCTAATGTCTGACGAGAGTGTATCTCTATGGTGGACATTAGAAAACGATGAACTACATCGCAATGCAATTGTCGTTGCGTCTCAGTCGCAGACTGCACCACGGCGAATCTGTGCTCAGTGTTTCCGGGTCAACAACCGGTTCTCAATGCAGATCGCTGCCATTTGATAGAAGCACTCCACCTCATTTGCTGGAACGATCGTTTCGCACACGGTAGAACCATGTATCGTGATAGTTCAAGATTACCTTGGTTGTTCGAGGCAGACTGAAAAGGCAGCTAAGAAAGCGAACCAGTACCTCGGCCTTCTTCGCAGAGCCTTCGGGAAGTTTGACCCTTCGATCTTTCCAAAAATGCTTGGTGCGTACTTGAGGCCGCACGCGGAATACGCTATCCAAGTGTGGCAACCCTGGCTCAAGCACCATCTCTCCGCGCTCGATACTGCATAACGTAGGGCAACGAACAGCGTCAGAGGTTTGACCAGCCTCCCCTACCCACTCAGGCTGAAGACCCTCAAAATATACAGTGGACGTTATCGGCGTCTAAGGGGCGATCTCATAATGGTGTACCAGATCCTGAGAAACCCCAACCACCCATGCCGTTCCCTTCTAATACTCAGTCAAAACATCCCGCTAAGAGGTCACCAGTTTAAGTTAGTCACGCAGTACAGCCGCCTGGAATGTCGGCGAAGCTATTTCTCCCTTCGAGTGACACAGCCTTGGAACGCCCTCCCCGAACATGTAATTAATGCACCCACCCTATCCCTTTTCAAAAAACGCCTTCACGATACCCTGTCACATTTACACTACGTGCTATAACCCATTACCCTTCAGATGCTGGCACTAATGCACAACAGACAGGGGATAGTGCCATAACCCTACTCGAGAATGAGTCACTCCAAACCCCTTGCACAAAATTTGATAAGCCCCACTACTATAGAAACTGGATTTCTGTATCCCTTCGACCCGAGATAGCTGCACACGAATAATCGCTGTCCTTGTTAATTTTTTTATTTTTTATCGTCTATTATGTGAACAATAACCACTCCCGTTATTGGTTTGTGTGCGTACATTCTCATTTCAAACTCCCTTTATACGACAGTGCAGTTACATCTGTAAGCGCCCGAATTGACTACTCCATTATCTCTTCGCTATCTTTTTTGTCACTCTAAACACCCTACGGGACATGTCAAGCACCTGCTTTTTTACCCGTTATGAATCATTGTTCAGTGTGACCTAGGCGTCGGTAATTTCTGAGTGCAACCAGGTTTCCGTTGTGAATATGATGCTTGACATAGTCGCGACTCGGCAGTTTTTCCAGGAGTCCTTGTGCACTGGCGTAGGTGCACGAAAATTACTCTGATCTCAGTAGTGAATGGGGGGCATATGCTCTGGATATGGTATTATCCTGAACTACGAAAGATCGGCGACTAATCAAGTTGTTGGTGGTGCAGTAACAAACGAATTTGTTAGATTTAGGAGTTTCGTTATTTCCCTATTCCTCTTTGTGTGTAACGTATAGAGTGTATGCACCAGTTTCCTCAGCTAGATGAGCAAGGTTATCCGAACCGTTGTCTTGACATGGTCCGACTAAGTTGCCTCTGTCAGGTGTTTGCTTATGGGACGCCACCTTGAACCGGAGCTCTACTGTGGTGTGCATAACAGCACTCCAATAACTTGACATCTGTCTGGTATGAAGCACCACCTTCACAGTCTTTGATCCATAAGCTTTGTAACTTGACGATGTGGGAAGCCTCGAGCTCGATCGCAACACAACATTTTCCTAGGATAGAGTCCTGCACATGTAGCGTTACTGCTCCCAGTCGTGGGTGGTCTTTCCGCCCAGATCGTATGAACTTAAATAATGTAGCGTTAAACCTCCTTACTAAGTATATCATAACGATATTATCTATTCAACCGAATGCAGAATCAGAACTTCGAACCTGAAGTAACACCACGGATTTGCCACCGATTATACAAATTTACGTCAGATTGTGCAAATAATTTTTGCTTAATCATGCTATACTCCAGTGTCATGATAACGAATATCAAGGGATTATCTGCAGGAATTTTGAATTTCCTTTCGTGCCAGTCGAATTCCCAACTAACTGGTTTTATGTTGCACCTAGCACCACTCGCGAGTTAACTATGCTACATTTGATCTTATCTATTACTCTACTTTTGGCTTCAACAGGCACCCAATTTTTCACCAACTTTTGCTTGAAATAAACTTACCAATCGAATAATCTGTTTTTGGTGACCTAATCAGTTCGTACCGATCTTTTACAATTTTGCACCTGCGCACCTGGCAGCTATTCAATTTGGAGGACCAAAGTCAATCGATAAAGTGGTGAATTTAGACAAGGATTGTACATTACAAAGTGAACCAGTTCGAATGCACGTGTGCGATAGGACCGATTTGTCTGGACACCCTTTCACCAATGTGACGGTGGACGCAAGGGGGCTGGTTCGATTTCACGTATTCGGAATGCCATGTGAGTAATACGACCTGTCCCTTTTGTCAATTTTGTTGCGGTGTAAGGAAACTTCTTTTCCTGACTTTGCACTGAAGGTCCCAGTGGCTAAGAGAATATGACTCATGTATCTGCTCGAATGACTATAAGTGAGTTGATTAGCTTTAGGTAAGAGCAAGGTTGACATCTGCTTCTGAATTTTTCTCTCTTTGTAAATGCCTGCATCCACAGTCTGTCTGCGTGTGAACATAGTCCGGTTGCAATGTAAACGCCGTGGGGTAAAATCAAAAGGTATGAGAATCAGAGCCCCAATTGATTTTTGGACAGCTCCAAGATCCAGCATCTTGAGATTCAATGTGATCCAAGTGTTTATGGATACGTGCGTACAGCACATGCAGCAGTTCGTTCCGTATTGGGATGACTCGCTCATTGAGGCTTGCACTGGTGTGGATTTTGCTTAGCTCATCTCTTCCAACAGCTGTCGGTAGGCTCATGAGGCCGGTGCAGAAACATCTGTCATATCGGACAAATCGCTCGGCTGCATCTTCCGGTACCCGATGACGCGTACTCGTAAGTTAGTGTGCAATCTTATTTCAGCCATAAAATGATTATTGGTTTCTTGGGACAAACTGCGATAAAGTTCGATTGAATTACCGACACCGTTATAGTTACTCATCCCATATAACGATAGAATATCATGTACACGCTCGAGTGCAACAGACACAACGTTTTCAGTAAGATTTATTCTTAATCGTCTGTTTTCTACTCATGTATCACAAAAGACACCTTCCACCCAAGATTTTCTCTGTAGTTTTGTCTCCGTTGTGCTACGCCATCATGTTGAAGCCTCGAGGTAAGAGTTGGCGTAGCGCAAAGTGGCTCTGTATATCTGCCGAAGACATTTGCAGGAGCGTAGCAGGTGGACCATGACGAAGTGTACCTAGGGTCAGTGCACCCACACGAAACGAGAGATGTTTGTGTGAGCCATGGTCAATCCAAATGTTTATATTTCAAGACAAATGACGATGGATCAGTGGTTTGTCAAAAGAAGGAATTTCAAATTCGAAGACTACACAAAGGGGCCATATAACATAGGCGCCATTAATACGACAACGCAACGACATAATGGAAGCAGAGCTGTATGAGCGAGATCACACCATGCAGAATGGAATAAAAAGTATTATGTTAATGAACATACTAAAGAACAACCGGATTACTCATCCGCTTGTATTGATTAATGTGTGTCAGTGTGGATTACAAGCTAGTTTGCTGAAATAAATTTCAGAGCATCGGTTCAGGTAACAAACGATTAAACAAATGGGTGCGGATATAACCGTTTTTTGAAAATGGCCAAACTGGGAGCACAGACAACTAAGCTTGGGAGGGTGTTCCAGGACTGGCAGACACGAAATAAATAAGTTCGCCGACGACCTAGAAGAGTGTATTTTTGATTTATTATCAAACTATTACTTCTAATTTTGATGTTTTAGCTGCGTTTTAGAATGTGGAACCACATGTGACCGGGGTCTTTCAGTACTTGCTATACTAATTTGTGATCTCCGCGTAGTCGGCTCTAGCGTCCACTGAAGACGCCGAATTTTTGTTCATCCATGATCCGGAAGAGTGTGCAAACCCTGGAGCTTTTGTTGCTCCATGTTATGGGGTCTGGAGCGCTGTGACGTGACGCTTTAGCCTTGGTTGCTTAGCCTGGCTAGGGTATTCGACTTGGGGGGGGCGCACGTAAGTATTGAGCATCAGAACTCTCTCAGGGCCATCCACAGAGTACCAACATGCTGGTTACCTACATTTTAAAGGAGACTCAGAGATTATGGAACAACCGAGGTCGTCGTTTAGGAGCAAACTAAGGTTACCTTCCTTATAGGTAGTCTACACATCGTACGCCCTAAGCAAATGAAAGTGGGCATGTGAATGGTGGATGTGAAAAACTCGGCATTTGTCCAAGGTATACATTTAAACTGCAGGGGTAGCAGCAGATCCGCAACTACGGCACTTGTGGTGCGTAATATGAGCAGCATACTTGTTCACAACTTAACCTACTCAGAGATGACATTTGTGAAATATGATGAAAGCTACACATAGAAGGTACTACTTTACAGCTGCTCAGCGCACACGTGGGACTTAACTTCGCCATAACCGGATAAGCGTAGGTATGACGTGTAGAGACTGATCCTTGTTCTGGTTTCCCCTGTCAGTTTTCGGAGAGGTGTGCCTTCTCTTTGTTAGGCGTGACCGAGGGCGAGCAGACGTGAACATTCCGTATGTATGTGCGAATGGCACCCTTCAAATTGAGCTACTGCTTGTCTACCATATCAACCGAGAAACCCTCACACCTCTTTGGTTTGCAACTCCAGGGTGTATTGTAAGCCTAGTTCACCCTAAGCGCCGCGGACAGTATTGAACTAAAACTGATGGTTTTGAAATCGTCAGGCTAAGGACTTCACAATTACTGGGAGGTGGCTCGCCTTCAAATACACAACACAGGACACTGTTGTCTGGCCCGAAGTTGAGCCAAGCCGATACGGTGGTATCGGCTCGGACTGCCTGAGTATCTTGTAATAATGGTGTCGAGTACCGCCCCCCAAGATTTGATAGCAAACCTGAGCAACGGTCAGAGTCTGTTACTGAAAAATCAGGGCATCATTTATACCGCACAAAAATGAGGAATGGTTGTCATCCGACATTGACCGCTGCTACTTTCGTGTTCTTTTGCGTGCATTGGTTCCACACACGGCTCGTCTCTATCAGCTTCTGCTGCGTCTTCGTTCATTCGCCTTGAGCTACGGCTGGGTACGGCAGCTTTGCTTTTATATCTGGTCTATCGTTCCCCCGTATCCCGGCAAAACCGATTCGCTAATGAACCAACCGCGCTCCCTTTCTCTGGCTCCTGGATACGTGCACCTGAATGGCCAATTTGCCGTATGCTTCTAACCTCCTTTCGCTCAAGCGGCTATCCGTTGTCCTACTCTCCTGACACATTTGCAGTTGCAGTCCGTGATTGGCCCGCATGGCTGAGGCCGGCTCATCAGCTTTGCTCAAGCGAGTAGTTATTACCTCAAATAGATTATTCGTATGGATAGGATGTCTGGACATACAGAACTCCATTAATTCATTTCCCCTCTAATTAAGGCTGATCGGGGCATTAGTGCTTCCAAGAAACTCCAGCTCCAGGGGGCAGCGCTACGTATCGCTGGTGTTAAATTTCGCAACAACATCGCACAACCAAGATGCTGCCCATCAAATGAAACGAACTTTTTGTAAAAAGCGATTTGATTGCTTCTAATACCACAACTTGATCAGAATGAGGCCGGGCTAGTTCCATTGCACCCACGTCTAACTTTTAGGCTGAAGAGTGGTTATTTACGTTGGGTTTCATCCGAGCTGGGGTAGAGGAGTTGCACTTTACTTTGAAGTGTGATCTTATCGAAAGCTGTACTTATATAGCTGACTGTGAAGACATATCAGCCACCTTTTTAAAGGATTTCAATCCATGTTCCGCGACATTGGTACCTACATACACAACATGGAAGGAAGTCTGAACTAATGTGATGTTGGCGTCTCAAGCGTTCAAGGTAAAATCTACTTCGGAACTCCTAGTAGTTTCACCAACTGACGGCTCGTCTAGCTCTCACACACTTCTCCAGTTTCGGTTTGTAGCTCCTGCTCTGTCTACTTAAACGGTCCAGGTGAAATAGAGACCTGCCGTGTGGTGCATTGTTACTGAAAAGCAGCGACCAAAGAAAATGTCTACACAGATTGCTTGCGTATCGTAACCCTTCCACATAACATGAGCCTCAAAGGAGCCAACAATAAGTCTTTAGCTGTTGTGGCAAGCGCTACCGTGAGATTCCTTGGTATTGTCGAGAGCTTCTAGCTGTAACCATTATGTGCTGTGTTCGACTTCCAGCTTAGAATTTTACACGCGTAGCCTGCAACCGAAAGTGATCAATGCAGAAACTATCTCCATTTCGAAAGCGCCTCTAATACCGTTACTGGTCAAAGTGTACTTCATTGAAAACAGTTAATTTCATTGGGATTTCAAAGATAGATAACGCCTCCCATATTTTGCAGTGGGGTGGACTGGTTTGCTGAGAGCGAAAAGAACTGCAATTCAGGCAGCTTGAGATTTCAGTGCGCAGGTAGTGCCCAGCTAGTGCGACCAACTCATCGGTTCTTTGATGGAATCACCTCCCACGATACACATTCTAACCCAAAGTAGACAGATGTCAAGCATTTGGTTTTGCTTAACACCCCTTAAGCAAACCATAACTGCACCTAAAAAATAATTGGCACTTTGTGGGGAGTTAAGCGTAGCAATTTATCGTTTTGTAGCTAACCATAAAGGAGGTAGCTGCATTGATCCTGCCAACTACCGCCCAATAACACTAGTTCCCGTACTATCCAAAGTGATGGAATCAATCATCGCAGATGCGTTGTTGCAGTATCTGGAAAGCCACAACTTGTCTTTCGTCAAAAGCATTCGTGTAATACTGGCCTATGAATTGCGCGTAATAGCTGGACTGAAGCTGTTGATGATGCAGCAAGAGTCGATGTCATCTACCTGGAATTCTCAAAAGCGCTTGACCGCTTAGAACATCGAATTCTCCTTCAAAAGCTTCGGAATTACGGCATTATCGACCCAATCCTGAGTTGGATTGGCAATTTTCCACAAGCACGATGGCTAGTTGTGAGAGTCCGAGAATCATTGTCTGATGCAATGGATGTGGCGTGTGGAGTACCACAAGGCTCAGTGCTTGGACCTCGTCTATTCTTGGTGTTCATTAACGATTTGGCGAGATCAATTGCTTCCGATTTCCTATTTTTCGCTGATGATATCAAGGTATGGCGAGGGGTCAGAGTACCGGACGACCATGAACGGCTCCAGTGCGATCTTAAAACTGTGTCGAACTGGTCACTTCAAAACGCCCTACCATTCAACATAGACAAATGTCGCGTTGTACAATTACGCCATAGACATAACTACACCTATTTACTTGGGACAA